TGAGGCCCAGAGAGGATAAGTGACTTGCCCAGGGTCACACAGCAAGCAAACGGTGGAGCTGGAATTCAAACCCAGGTTACTACAGGCCACATCTCACTCACTGTCCACTGTGCCTTGCTTTCTCCATCTCAAACAGAAAAAAAAATTATAAATCCTGATTCAAAAGAGAAACTGTATTGTTATGACACTCCAGCATTGGAACAATTAAGTTATGTTTATATTTTCCTTTTGAGCTCAGACCACACAGCCACAGCCAGCTGGCTTACTACCCTAGGCTATTAACTAACACACACCACTTTTTATTTCATGGCCTTCTTTTTAGGAACAGGAATAAACACGTGTGATTTTTGCCCATAACGTTCATGGCTACGTGTATTGACTCTACTTGGGGCATCCTTGACACTTTGGTAACCCCATCTCTGGGATGAGAGGGCTGGGCTGGGCTGAACCAATGTGATCCAAGGCTCCTTTCAGCACCGACAGCCTATGACAGCAAGCTGGTGAGAGTCCACTGACCTGCAGCTAAAGAAAGAGGCAAACTGGGGTGGGCACAGCTGGCGACTCAGTTCAGATCCACGCTGGCTTACTGGGAGAGATGATAGTAGGCACTGGTTTGAAGCTGGGCACACACACTCACACAGGACATAGTTCTTGCCCTCCAGGGGTATGGAGTCTAGCGAAACCTTCCCAAAGGAGCCTGCATGATTGGCAGTTACTGCTCACATGTTTACCTTGTATTGGTGAATTTTGCGATGTGTCCCTTGCACAATATGAGTAATTTAAAATATATCTACATGCGATTAATTCTTCCTTCTATCCATTGGGGAAAAAGCCCTATTTAAATAGATGGATGGACATTGAGTAGGTGTCTCTGTGTCCCAATAGGGTGAGCACATTCTGCCCTTAAACAGATGCACATTGCATCCTTGGGAAGCTGTAACGGACAACTCCAGAGGTTTGCACTGTTAGGAAGCACACCTTGGAAATACCACACAAGGAGAGTAGGGCCTCTGGTGTTTCTGACTGACATGAGTGAGCTGAAGAAGAACCTGATTAAGGGAAACAGGGCCCTCCTCGAGAGATTGAGGGGAGCATGGATCACACGGCAGTTTTGTTTGGAAGAAAAGCCAGTCAAAGCCACAGGGAGTCCTTGTAAGGCCAAAGGAGAGAAAGTTGTTCCCTTGGAGAGAGTGGCATTTTGGAAAACTGAAAATCACTTCAGTAATATTGTATATGAGAATCTTTGTAACCAAAAAGAAATGCAATAAATCTCTCAGTTTGAAGGCTTCTTCAATATTTTACAAATCACACAATCATCTCCAGCTTTTGGCACAAAGAAAAATCCACATGACAAACCTTACGGAACATTAGCAATATCAAGATAAGCTACATCTGCAGAATACCGATGAAATTATCCCTACCCGCTGCTGGTGTTTTCAAAACTGTGAGGCGGAGGGTCCATCTCTTTTTTCCTGTTAAAAATGGAAATCGGTGCTTGAGTATTCCACGAAGTTCTTCAGGTTCATTAACAAGGTCAAAATCAATGTTATTTTACTGTTTGGAATCATTTTTGGCGGAACAATGAAAAGAAACCATAGTAGAAGTAGTCTTAATATAATCATTTTCTTTTCATTGTTCTTTATGGGAAAATAATTTGGCCCGAAATTTAGTGGTCCCATCAGGGAGGTGATATCTTTAAAAAGGTGGTCTGAAGGACAGGTTTTACTGTACTTTAATAGGCTTATAGATTAGTATAAATCTTAATATTCATAATCTTTACCATTTCTTTTCTCAATATCTGCTCCATCTATACATCTATTTATAATGTATGTTTCAAACACAAGATATACTTGATTTTTATTAAATATACTGATGGTGCTATGGGGACAGCCACTTGACCTAGTTAAAGGAAGAAAAAAGAGCCAGGGGGTCAAATTTATGGATAGTCTGCTGCTGAAAACAGATTTTTGCAGATAATACAATGGCCTGAAAGCAGGGCTGTCTTTGCAAATTTGCCATGTGCTATTATTTGTGTATGGCCAGGTAGGTAAAATAAATATATTGGGTGCCAAATGTGAGCTGCAGATGATCATGATGAAATGTGGACTTCTCACCTGACAGCTTGATTTTTCTAATCTAAACATGGAACATTTTCAACCTACATATGCTCACAAAAGAACGTCACAGTGATAACAACACAGGAAATACTTACTGGACAGAAAAGAAAATATGTAGATATGCAATGCTTGGCAAGAATAAAGAAATATGTGCTAATTTATTTTAATGTGGTTATTTAAAGGGAACATTATATAAGCAATTTTGATTTTATTTTGATTCTGAGATTCCTTGTTTGCCTGTCAGCTTATTATGTTATAAACACTGAAGAAATTAATGAATTGTAGATGTGTACAACATTGATATATTATGTACAAATATGTACACATGTATATATATATTTTACTGATTATTAAAAGTAATACATCCTTAATATAGAAAATCTACAAAATATGAGGCAAAAACCAAAATACTCACTTCCCAAAGATAATCATGTTAACATTTTCTCTCCTCTGTTTTGTTTTACATAGTTTAGAGGATCCTGTATGTATAAAATTGAATACGGGTTTATTAAATTCCATTGTAGGATCCTAGAACTTACTTCACTATTTCCTATAATTGGATGTTTGTATGGTTTCCTGTTTTTTCCTATTATAAATATAAAAGATACACATCTTTTATATAAACCTTTGTTGGCATTTCACATAACTGCCCCAGGAGCTAGTCCCAGAGACGGAATTAATGAATTAAGTAGAATAACATTTTTAAGGCTTTTGATACCTATTGCCAACCACTTTCCACAAAGCTTAGGCCAATTTACAGTGTAAGCTTATTTTAATCAGAGTTGATGTACTTTGCCCACATGAAGAAAAGGCTGTGGTTTCAGGTTTCCAAAGCAGTGATCTCCTGTGGTTGGTAATGATGTTCCTTTGTGGTTGGCCTGAGGAAGATGTGAAGAAGTGCTGCAGAGGCCTATTTGTCTGCTGTTACGGAGTGCTAGTTCTTCTGGTTAATTCACATAAAGGCTTTCTTCTTCTTCTTCTTCTTCTTCTTCTTCTTCTTCTTCTTCTTCTTCTTCTTCTTCTTCTTTCTTTCTTTCTTTCTTTCTTTCTTTTTTTAGAGTATGTGGTCCTCAGAAATAGTATTTAATGTTTTAAACATTAATATTAATTGAAAAAGGAGAGAACTTAAATAATGGCCTATATATTTTCTTTGCCTTTGTATATGTATATTTGTGGTAATGAGAAAAAAACCTGGAATTTATTATTAGAAAAATGGGTCTATAAAAGTATTTATGCTTTTTTGCCCACTCAACTTCCAGCTTTACTGACTTTAAATATTTTGTCCTCAGTACCTCAGTCCTCTGAGGTATTTGGCTGTGTGCAGAATGTCACATTCCTGTCCACTCTGTTGATAAGGATGTGGCTTTGTGCCTGTGGATGCCTGTGTGCAGAGGCTGGGCTCTCTGAAGGCAAAAAGCAGTCACTGACTCTGTGGCTGCTCCCTCGTGATCCCTGTATCCTACACACACTGGTTTCCCACCACCAGCTGTCTGGTGACAATGTGTCTACTGTGCTTGAACTGTTTAAATCCAGGGTATCATTAGGACACTGTCAGTTACTCCAAGATTCAACAGTATGGGTATGCGTGCTTTGGACATAGTAGGAATCATGTAAAGGAAGGAAAGCAAGAAGGCAGGGTAGACACACAGCCCCATTCACACTTAAATGCAAGGCCAAGGAGTGGGGGTTGTTTTCCGATGAATCTTTCAGTTTCTGCTAGTGTATGGCTATCTATCATCATTCTAAGTGGCAGTGCAGGGATCTTCTTTGCTTTCTGGCTTTCTAATTGGCAAGTAAATCCTATTTCTGAAAAGCAAAAATAGATGTTGCGAACAGGTATCTTTCTTTGGGTTGCCTTGGTCACCTTTAGAGTGCCTTTTCACAGGAAGAAGGAGAGAATGAAAGTTCTTTTGCTGAAGGGGAGCTTCCTTCTCAGAACTTCTCAGAACATTGACCATGACTGCTCATGGCTAATCCTGGCTCCTTTGCCCTACAGGGAAACGCTGAGAAAAGCCTGAGAACTCAGGACTGGGGAAAGGCTCTAGAGGAAACTAACCCACCTTCAGTGAGGCTTGCTTTTGTCCAGACCCAGCCTATTTAGTACATTAGTAACCTTATTTTATTCAAAATAGAGCGTCTCACTATATTTCAAAGTAGTTTACAACTCTGTATAAAATAGAACATCTTTACTAGGGGATGGTGGAACATAAACAGTAGAAACACAAATATTAATACTACCCTCACAATGCATGCCTTACAAAAGATGTTTGCTTAGTTTTGTTTTATATAAAAACATATTTAGCTACCAACTTTACTGTCACTGTGGAAAATTGCATAAACCAATATATGTAAGTGAATAATTTTACATATAGTTAGTGTCTTTTCTGATTAAGAGAGTCTTTTAAAGAATATATTAATTATGCATCTTATGTATCCTATGTGGTTAAAGCAGCTCTGTGAATAGAGACCTGCCAGTTGTTTTGTTAAAATAACAGAGTGCAGCTGTGATAAACAAAAAAAAAAAAAAAAAAAGAAAGAATACAGCCTATCTGGAAGAGCTATTTTTATTTTTAAAAGGTCGGGGAGGAGGAATCAAGAGTTAATGTTTAGTTTGCAAATATAAGAGTTTTGGGGGAGAATATCAGGTCAGGCAAATGTGTGAGCCACAATGGAATAAAGGTTACCTATTTGCTAAAATGTTTCCAAACTCGGACTTTCCAAGTGAGTGGTAGATATGCGTGGGAAAGTCACCCTTGAAACCAAAGAGGGGAGGATGCACACCAAAAGAGAATCTGGTTTTTACATTGTAGTTGTAATGGCAACGATCACTGTTGCCAAATGTAAACTTCTTAGGTTTGTAAAACTCCAATTAACACCACTCTCCATAGATAAAAATGTACATTTGAAGGAAATAGTTTTACAATCGAACTAGAGATTGTCCTTGCCTCTCAGAAACAAAACGGAATGTTATCTGTCCAAGAAAAAACACTCTTTGAAAGTGCTTTCCTGAATCGCGTTGAGTCTTCAGTGTGTCAGTGGGCAGGTCCCGGCTGTGTTCTCAGCTTTGTGGTCTCCTCCCGGCCTCTGGGGGTGGCTTTGAATGGGACGGCTTCACAAAATCTGCATGAAAATTGGGAATTGTCAAAGTAATTTGCCATTTACTGACTTGCTCTCTATGCCTTTTGTGTTTTGATCAATAAAAACTTAAATCCTTTACCCAGTTTAGTAACAACCTATTCTAAAGCATTATATTCCCCCTAATGTTTTTCGAGTTCTGGTTGTACAGTTATCCATTTTCAATGATATTCATTTTAAAAGGTTAACAAACGAGAAACTAAACCAACCATACAAATAACAGCCCAAAGAACACTTTCCAAAATGTGTTGCTGTAGTGCCATTTCAAATTTAATATTCATGCAGAGGAAAGCTAAAGGCCACCAAACCAGGTGGATAAAATAGTACTGCATTTTATGACTCATTCTTAAATGAAATCTCTTAAATATTGCTAATGAAGCCGGCTCCCCCGCCACAGCCTTGGCGGGCGCCCTTTCGAGCTGCTTCAGTTCCATTTCCCTGTCTAGCAATTTGCCCCAGGCCCCTATTAAATGAATTATCACGGCCCCTAAATCATCTCTGCGGGGGTTTCCTCTAATCCCATCAAGACACTTACACTCCCTTTCTTCCCTCCTGGTGACATAATGAATGATTATTTCATGGGGAGCCGTTAAAGAGGCCCCTCTGGAAGAGGGGAATGCGCGCGGCCCGGGGCGGAGGCGCGGGCTGGGCCACGGGGAGGCCGGGTGGGCACCAGCGCCGCCTCGGGCTGACGGGGACAAAGAGGCCACGCGGCCACCAACTGCCCTCCTGGCCGCCCGAGGTGGGGGTCCCCGCGAGCGGCGGGCCGAGAGCCTCCCGCTCCAGGCCTCCCGGTGCGCCCGGCCCGGGTAGCGACTCCGGGAGCCCAGGAACGCAGGGCAAGGAGAGAGAATATAAATGTTTTCCTTAACCAGAGGAAACACTGCACTCACAAACCACTTGCGGAATAGATTAAGCTAATTTATTAAACACAGTTTGCCTGGTGACTCAGCTGAGCTGAGTAATGATTTACAGTTTAAAAAAAAATTAATAAGAGAAAGTCAGGGGCCACCGTGGCCCTAATCATGGGGCCATGGCAGCTCCGACGAGGCTGGGGCGCGCGTCCTGGCCCTGGGTTTGGGACCAAGGGTGGCCTTAGGCCTGCGGCATTGGTGAAGCTTCGCAGCCGTTGTGGAGCCCAGACCCTCAGCTCCGGGCAAGTGGCGTCCAGAAGAGAGCTGGGCCCTGGGCGGGGAGCCACCTCCAGGGAGTCAGGCAGAAGGACCCTCTTCCCCAGAGGAAGGGGTGGTTTGGGGGGTGTGTGTGTGTGTGTGTGTGTGTGTGTGTGTTTTTACAAGTTGTTTCTGAGGCTCTCAGACCTCCCTTCGCATACCAGTGCTGGGTCTTCTGACAGTGAAGTAACGTAGAACAGTTTCCAGGAAATTTTGGAAATTAAACTCTAGGACACGAGTCTTGAGCAGCGATTCTCAACAGCGTTGGGTGCCAGCAACCCTGGTTTCATAATAAATCCTTCCTAATGCCCAGCGCGTTTTGGCTCACGCCTGTAATCCCAGCTCTCTGGGAGGCTAAGGTGGGAGGATCTCTTGAGCCCAGGGGTTCCAGACCAGCCTGGGCAAAACAGTGAGATCCCGTCTCTACCCAAAAAATACAAAAATTAGCTGGGCATAGTGACGCAAGCCTGTAGTCCCTGCTACTCAGGAGGCTGAGTCAGGAGGATCACTTGAGCCTGAGAGGTCAAGGCTGCAGTGAGACGTGATTATGCCATTGCACTCCAGCCTGAGCAACACAGTGAGATCGTGTCAAAAAAAAAAAAAGAAGAAGAAAGTTGTAATATCTTTTACTATTCCAAATAAAAATATGGAATAATATATCCTACATGTGACTTAGAAAAAGAGAAGATAGAAGGAAGAAAACAAAGAAAGGCAAAAACATAAGGGCCTAACTATAAACAAGAACACATAAGGTATAATATAACAAAAATATAGTATAATACATGTTTCAGTGGGTACATGCTCCATCACAACAGCTAAGGAATGAAGTAATCAAATAATCTCACGCCTTTTTTTTTTTTGACAGGCTCTCACTCTACTGCTCAGGCTGGAGTGCAGTGGTGTCATCTTGGCTCACTGCAGCGTCGATCTTTGTGGGCTCAAGTGATCCTTCCACCTGAGCCTCCTGAGTAGCTGGGACTACAGGCACGTGCCACCATGCCCAGTTAATTTTTGTAAAGATGGGGTTTTGCAATGTTGCCCAGGCTAATCTTGAACTCCTGAGCTCAAGTGATCCTCCTGCTCAGCCTCCCAAAGTGCTGGGATTATAGATGATCACATCACTTTATAACAAATGTTGATTTAAGAGAAAGCTTTCAGTTGATTGTTGTTGACTCTTTTTCTTTATAAGCAACATTATGAAATAAGGGCTAAATAAGGCTATTTACTCACACATGTAAAATCATCCAAATGTGACAGCTATGGTTGGGAGAACACAAAGCCCAAGAGCTACATTGCATTGTTGTCCATAACATGGTTTTCCAAAATGGTGAGCAACTCTCGGTCAGGTTCCAGACAAAACTGTGTACGTGGTAGTTGTATTCCTGGAAAATTTAATGTACATTAAAACTAGGTAAAAACACTTTGTGCTCATATGAAAAATGGAGCTAGAGATAATTATCAAAGGCTTTTTCACTTACATGAATATCTGATGGAACATTGGAATGTGTTCTGAAGGACCTGGAACAATTGTTTGAGTGCCAATGCACTGCCTTTTTGGGGTGGACCTACCCCCTTTGAAACTTGCTGGTCTAGAACATTGGTTTCTAAATTCTTTGCTTTAGAATTTCATGGAGAGCAGAACATTTTACATATGACATTAGAGGGTTTGCAGGCCTCTTAAAACCCATTCATAGACCCCCTATCAAGTCTATGTATTCTGAATTCTAAACCCTTTTGTACAGCAGAAATTGAAGGGCTAGAATCATAGAATAGGATAGAACCTTACCTGGATCCTCTGAGGAAAATCAGCTCATCCAGAGTCTGAAGAAGACTATATTCAAATTTTGAGTTTATTTGGTTATTGCAGGAAATTAGTCACTTTCCTGGTTCTGGAAGTGGAAACTAAATTACTTTAGTCTTTAAGGCGGTCCTAACACATTGTTTACTTCTACTCAACTTGTGATCAATAAAAATCCTAAATCTATTCTACTTGTTCTGGCTAAAAATGTTTGACCTTTGTACTTAGGCACATAATTTTTTATATTGAAGTGTAGGGCTTTACATTAGTACCGATTAAATGCCTTCTTGTTGAAGATGACCCTTTATCCCGGCCTTGTCTAGATGTTTTTAGATACCAATTTTGTCTTTGAATTTATAAGCTTTCTTTTCTAGTTCTCTGTCACCTGCATGTCAAAATGTTATAATTAATTATAAAAAGGAAAACTGAGATAGAGGCCTCTTTTGCCAGTGCTATGTCACTAGTAATAATAGGAATATGTTAACTTTCTAGTGTATATAGGAAAAGTCCCGTTAGTTTGGTGTGTATATCATTGCATATTTAGAGCTGAAAAAATAAGGCAGTGTGCATTGTAATGGCACTTCCTTTTATGTTGTCAGAAATGCTTGATTTTTATTTAATTAATTAATTTATTTTGAGATGGAATCTCATACTGTTGCTAAGGCTGGAGTGCAGTGGTGTGATCTTGGCTCACTGCAACCTTCACTACCTGAGTTCAAATGATTCTCCTGCCTCAGCCTCCTGAGTAGCTGGGATTACAGGTGTGTGCCACTACACCCAGCTAATTTTTGTATCTTTTTGGTAGAGATAGGGTTTTATCATGTTGGCCAGGCTGGTCTTGAACTCCTGACCTCAAGTGATCCACCCACCTAGGCCTCCCAACGTGTTGGAATTACAGGTGCGAGACACCATGCCCAGCCTGATTTTTATTTTAAAAGTCTTTTTTTAGAAGATTGCTCTTCCCCACTCTCAATGCTGGGATTTTGTCAATTCTAAAAATAATATTGTACCAAATTTAAGTATGTTTTATAAGAAGTTTTCCACAATCCTGCCATTTTAACATAACTGTTTTTATTTCTCCATGTTTCCTTCCACAGCTTCTACTTTTTGTTTAGGCTTTTACGTATTGCATGCCCAATTTTCTACGACTCTTTCTAGTTCTCTGTTAGAAATGGGTGTTAGCCTGGATTTATTCTTAAGCACATGCAATTGAACTAAAACAAGCAACCGAGCATCTTCCATACAGCTTTGCCTAAGTGGGCTGACAAGCGGGCTGAAATCTTTGTAGGCCTTACAGAAAGTGATCACTATAGAAAGGAGGTAGAACTGTCACGTGAACTTAGCAGCTCACTTTTTAAAGAATCATCAAACATCGACGTAAGTCAGAAGTGTACGGGAGGCAATGGGGTCTTGAGCTGCGATTTAGAAAGCCCTGAAGTTGTGATTTGGAACATTTTTGTTTAGTGAGCACAGTCGAAAGTCTGTGTCTTCAGTTCTGCTCAAGAACACGGTGAGGGGGTAGGAAAGGGTGGTAGAAAGGGCGTTTTGATTCATTTTTGGTTTTGGAGGGTGCTGGGACAGTTGGGGAAATCACCTCCTCATTAGAAGCCCTTTACAGGCAGAGCACAGTGGCTCATGCCTGTAATCCCAGTACTTTGGGAGGTTGAGGTGGGCGGATCGCCTGAGTTCAGGAGTTCAAGACCAGACTGGCCAACATGGTGAAAACCCGTCTCTATTAAAAAATATATATATACAAAAATTAGCCAGGCATGGAGGCGTGTGCCTGTAATCCCAGCTACTCAGGAGGCTGAGGCAGGAGAATCACTTGAACCTGGGAAGCAGAGGTTGCAGTGAGCCAAGATCGCACCATTGCACTACAGCCTGGGTGACAGAGTGAAACTCCGTCTCAAAAAAAAAAAAAAAGCCTTTTACTTCTATTCATCTCCCCTTGGAACTTTCTTCAGGACCCAGGTGGGTGGCTACAACCTAGAGATGCTTGTCCACAGCCCAAGGAA